GAGAAACTAGAGTCATTTATAGCTAAATGGATGCATATTGAGGCCATACTCTTAAGTGAAATAAATAGGACACATGTGTAAATACTGAACAGTTTCTCTAGTGTGAGAAACTGAAAGTGTAAATAAGGATTAGAATGTTTAATAACTAATAATTGATACTTTGAAATAGAAAAAGGTCCAAAGGGGTAGGGGCGGTGGGAGGAGATGGGGAAAGGAAAGAATGGAAAGGAAAAATTATGAGAAAAGAAAAAAAAAAGGAAATGAAGTCATGTAAATAGGGAAGGGTGGAGGGGTGAAGGATGTACAGATAATGGGGAAAAAATAAGAACTAAGATACACCATGTATAGGTACAAGGACCCAATGATAAATGTAAACATATTGTATACCTAAAATGTATCAATAAAAGAATTTAAGAAGAAAAAAAAAGCTTAACTTCTGTTTCTTTCTGGCACACACACACTGTTGTAGTCAGTGTTTTGACAAAGGAATACATTTAATTTAGGACAAATAATTTATAGGATTATTTCATGATATTTATCCAAAAAGTCAAATACAGAAGAGTGCAAGAGATTAGCCACCCACTAGATGCCTAAAGAATCCAGCTAAGGGCCTGGATCCCACAGCAATATCCCGCAGAAGTCCCACTAAAGGCCTAGAGTCCAAGGCCATGTCTTTCATGAGTCTTGCCAGTGGCCTAGAGCCCACAGCAATGTCACATGCTTGTCTGTATTAAGGATCTGTATCTGGAAGGCCCAAGGGCCAGTGGTGGAAGCCAGAAAACCTGCACTGGTGGGATGAAGGATTTATGCCACCAGGATAAGGGATGAAGCCAGGAAGTCATGCTCACAGTGAAGATGAAATCTCTCCTGATGAGAAAAGCAGCCATTCCCAGTGAGAGCAAGGCCCCAAGCTCCTCCTCCAAGAACAGCCAACTTTGCATCAGAAAAACCATCCAAGCCAAGCTTCTCCTAGAAAATCAACAGCCCACATCTCTGGATCTTTCCTAACTCTTCCCCTTCCCACAAGCCAGTTCCAAAGGCTCTTGAGCCACAAAGCCAGGTAATGTCAATAATCCCACTCCTGGTACCAAATTTCTGTGTTACTTACTTTTCTCTCATTGCTGAGACAAAATACCCGACACCCAAAATTAGACGGAAAGGGGTTTATTTGGCTTACAGTTCATAGAGGTTTCAGTCCATAATTGGCTGGCTCCAAGGCTGGGATGGCCAACAGACATCACAGAGGAGAAACAACATGGCTCACACAAGGTAGCAAAGGCAACAAGAGGAGTTTACCAGCATCTTTCTGCCCCTTTTCTCTTATTCACACTACCAGGATTAGGGCAGTGCCAAACCAATCATGTGTGGTGGTTTAATAATCACATGCCCTTAACCCCAGGATCACACATTTCAGATTCAACTACCTCTGAAAATGAAAATCCCACCTCACCTGCATGAGGCTTCGGGGAGACATCTAAACACAAACCGTAACACACACTAACTAATATGTAGGACCACCTGCTCTGTGTTTCCTGTAATAACTTGTTTATAACTATCACCCCTACCCCTTCACATGCAGTGCTAGCTCTGGGTTTGGATGCATGGGAAGGCCTTTATGTACCTCACAGTCCCCAACTCCCTTAGGTCCCAAGTAAGTACAGGCCCACTCTGCTGGCCTTCAGTCTTCTCCAGCTTACTGGTGGACCTTCCATGGTTTCAGATTCAAGTGACTTGTGTTGGAGCCTCATTCCCATGAGAGTTCCTCCTTTGTGACTTCACGCACTGAAGTCACTTGGGAGGCAGTGCAGAAAGTTCCACCCTAGAGTCTTGGTCTCTTAGTAGCAGGGACAGCAGCCCTAGGTAGCCCAGAAGACTATGTGTCTTCACTGTAATTGAGATCACTGTTGACCCAGGCCTTGCAATGACAGAGAGTACAGCCTCAGGGACACAGGGTCCTTCTGGGACCATGGATGATACTATTGTCCTCAAACGTCGAGGATACATAATGGGCATAAATTTGGGAGAAGGTTCCTATGCAAAAGTCAAATCTGCTTACTGCGGCCGCCTAAAGATCAATGTGGCAGTTAAGATCATTGATAGGAGGAAAGCCCCAGCAGACTTCCTGGAGAAATTCCTTCCTCGGGAAATTGAGGTTATGGCCATTCTAAACCATGGCTCCATCATCAAGACCTATGAGATCTTTGAGACATCACAGGGCAAGGTCTACATTGTCATGGAGCTTGGGGTCCAAGGTGACCTCCTCGAGTTCATCAAAACCCAAGGGGCCCTGCAAGAGGATGATGCTAGAAAGAAGTTCTACCAGCTCTCCTCAGCCATCAAGTACTGCCATGACCTGGACATAGTCCACAGAGACCTAAAATGTGAGAATCTTCTTCTTGACAAGGACTATAACATCAAGGTGTCAGACTTTGGCTTCTCTAAACGCTGCCTACGGGATGACAGTGGTCAGCTGACACTTAGTAAGACCTTTTGTGGGTCAGCAGCATATGCAGCCCCTGAGGTGCTGCAGGGCATCCCCTACCAGCCCAAGGTGTATGACATCTGGAGCCTAGGTGTGATCCTCTACATCATGGTCTGTGGCTCCATGCCCTATGATGATTCTAATATCAAGAAAATGCTGCGCCTCCAGAAGGAACACCGCATCAACTTCCCACACTCCAAACACCTAACCAGCGATTGCAAAGACCTCGTCTATCACATGCTGCATCCTGATGTCCACCGGCGGTTGCGCATAGATGACATCCTCGGCCACAGCTGGGTGCAGCCCAAAGTACAGAGTCTAGTCTCTGCAGCCCCCAACTTGGGGGAGAGCTCCCAGAGCACTGAGTCCTCTAGGACTCCTGAACCTACCCCTGGCAAGAAGCCTCCCACAAAGCCTGAGCCTCGGGAAGAGGCACAGACTGAGGCAGGACCTGAGGTACAGCCTGAGACAATACCAGAGAGTAAGGTGCCAGTGGCCAGGCAGCTGGAGACTGTTGGCTTCTCCAGCCTGCTGCAAGTCCAGGAATTAGAGGAGGGTCAGGCCCAGATGCTTGCAGAGCAGCCTACCCAGTGAACCCACTGCCGTCCAAGCAGAGCTGGTAGACTAAACTCTGAGCCTGAAAGAGGTGAAGAATGAGCTCCTACTTTGTCAGTTCTTCTCCCTCCCCCTGAATTTGATAACTCACACGGCTACAGACACAATAAACCATTGTAATAGTGCAGGCTCCGAGGGAATGTCTTTGCCCAGATGATTGCAGTCCTGGGCTCTCTGCTGCTTCTCACTTGGATCAGGACTTCTCACTCCTGGGAAAATGTATCCCAATGTGCCCAGGTCAGACTGGGACCTCAGGCCTGGGCAGGGGCAGCTGCACCAGTTGAAGGTTGGGATGGGAGCTGAGGGAGAGCTGAAGGGACAAGGCCACAGCAGTTGCTGAGTGAAGAAACAGCGAGCAGAGTGAGGCAGATGTAGTGTTGAGAGAGGGTTCCTCAGAGACATGCTGAGAAGGAAGGTGGCTGCTTGCAGAGGCGGGCTGGGAGGCCAGGGCCCCCGGCACTGGGAGAATTGGGCTTGGCTGCATTTGGGGCTGAGAGTGTAGCCAGCCATACCACCATTCCCCCAGGGCATCTATGGGTGCAAGGCTGAGAGTGGAAGTTGGAGGGAGACAGCAGAAGGCAGATTAGCCAGCTTGTCTGTCTCTCTTGAGCTTTACCACCATCAGGGTCACAATTTTTTCCTGCTCTGCCCACCATGGGTTCCCCTCATGTGAAGTAGGCACCTAGTTCACAGTAGTACTCTGATTCACAGCGTCCTGTGTTCAGAACTCTCCAGCCTAGAAGCAAGGGGCCCCATGGGATGCCCTAGTATATTCCACAGTCCGGTGTGGCTTTGACCACACCCCACTCCCCTCCAGCCCCACCCTGTCCCCAGGAGTGACATCCCTTGCCTGCTGGAGATGAGAAGCTGGCACTGGCAGGTAGGATAAGCATCTTCACAGAGCATGCTCTCACCCTGCAGGCAGGAAAGGCAGCCACCAGCGTCCTGTGGCAGGTGGGGCCTGCCTTTGTCACCACTGGCTGCCACATGCCACCTGCAATGCCTGTACCATGTCCCGGTCACTTCTCTCCTAGCCATAGTGGCCACTTCCTCTTCCCCTCTCTCTGGATGACCTTGCAAGGCCAGAGCAGCAACAGCTCACCTGTCCAGCTCTAGCAGAGCACAGAGCGCTGCTCTCCTCCATCAGGCTTGGATCCACTGCTGGCTTGTCTGTATCCAGGCAGGCACCACTGGCTCCAAGGACACCAGCTTTGCAGGGAGTTTTCTTCACACACTAAAGAAGCTGCTGGAAAACTGACCACTCAGTTTAAGTAGGTGAATCTGGATGTGACGGCACATACTTGTAATCCCTGCCACTTGGAAGGCTGAGGCAGGAGGATCACAATTTCACATGCAGGCTATGCAACTTAGCAAGGCCCTGAACAGTAGGCTTGGTCGCTGTCATCCTCACGAATTGCCAAGTCTTCATGCTGCCAGGGGACAGGAGTACACAGGATGGCACTCCTTGGACAAGCATCCTGCTCAGGATTGCACCCCAACTCTGGGCACAGTGGCTGGGTGAAAGTGAGCATCAATGTCCCTTAGACTCTGTTTATTCTCTGTACATTGTCCTTGGAGTCACTATGTGACCCTGTGGAGAGACTGGACCAGGCTGAGAGGGCCAGGGCCAGGCACAGGGAGGGAGCAGGCATGGGCTCCCCATGGCCTCAGTGCATCCGGGCCACGGAGGAACAGGGTCGTGGGCTTGTGGGCTCATGTGCACGTGAGGATGCAGCCTTGGGCCTTGACTCTCTCTCCTCTAGTTCTCTTTTAAAAAATTCTAATCTGTTCATTTCACCCATTGAATTTTGTGTTATTTAATCTTTTGAAATGTATTCATCAAATTCATTTTACAGTTCATATCTTATGATTTCAATCATTAGATAGCTTGGATTCCCCTTTTATTGTTTATTTTCTTCTTGTAACAAAAAAACTGTGTGTCTGGTTGGTTTTAATTAAACATTAGCTAGAGTATAGAAAAATCTGTTTATTCTGAGTCTGGAAAATTTCTCTTCTCCCAGCAGGGATCTAGTTTGCCTTCTAAGAGCAGTTAGGCTAGTGGTCTATGTCCTGCCTCTGGCCTGGAAGCTGATTCTCAAGGCTCAATCTCTGGAAGCGCTGGCCTCATTCCATTCCTCTCCCTCCTGGTGAAGTCATTAGATCCCAATTGAGAGCCTGGGAATGTCCACGAGGTTCCTCCTCACTGTGAGTCCATGCTCAGTTTTGTTCCTCTAGCTCAGTGAGACAGTGAAATTTTCTGCAGTTTCTTACCTTTTCACCTGTCATTGTTGTGGTTACAACTGGTAAAAATCAAAAAAGGAATGGAAGCTCCAAATATCAAGTCTACTTCTTTTGGCTTGTCTAGTCTTTTGTTCTGCATCACTACCTGCTGTCTTCATGAAGGTTTCAAACTGCCCCTTCTAGTTTTGTTTTGAGTAAGCTAAGCTTGGGAGATGTAAATGTTAAAAAAGATTGTAAATATCAAAACTGGATGAATGAATGGCCACAAAGGATTAACATCTCCTAAGTGTCATGCACTCCCCTAGGTACTGTATTTCAATTAATCTCCACTTTCCTCTTATAAAGCTCTTCTTATTATTCACATGATAAAATAAAAATCCACAGAGTTTAAGTAATTTTGTAAAGTTCACATGGCTAGTGCGTGTTCATTCTGAAGTTTGAACACAAGCTTACCTGACTTATTTTACTCATATAATCAAAGGATAAAGTTTATTTTTCTTTTATATATTTAAGGTGTAAAACATGATGTTCTTGTGGACATATACTTAATCAAAAGATTAAATGGACATATATTTAATCTGCAGTCAAAAAATTGCCACATCCATTATCTGACATAGTTAGATTTTGTATGTGTGGTACTATGTATAGTTCTCATGCTGAACATTAGATCTCTAGACTAATTCATCTTTAAAATACGCAGTGCTGTCCCTGTATCTGTGCATTCTTTCTCTTCTGCCCGGTAAACAGCATTCGACCTCTGTTTCTATGTATTCATTTTTTTATATCCCACATATAAATGAGACCACACAGTATTTTCCTTTTCTTGTTTCACTTATTTCAATAATGTTCTCTAGGTTCAGCTATGTTCTCAAATTGGCACAATATCTGCTTCTCTTCTCTTTTATGTGAAGAAATGTGAAGTTGTGAAAATTTTATGTTTGAGAGCCAAATAATTTTTTATGTTTTCTGTCTACTTTTCTACTAGGTTAATTTGTTATTTTTTATAGGTTTGGAATGATTCTTTAGACAGTGAGAATTCACCCTGTACCTTTATTACTTATAAATATATAATCTCAATTTGGCTTTCCTTTGTCTATAATGGCTTTACCTTGAAATAATGTTTTGTTTTCACATAATTATTAATCTTTATGGCACTCAATTTTTACTTATAAAGCTCTTCCCTACTTCATGATTATAAAGCAAAATTTCCATGTAATTTTATCTGATTTTATCAATAATTATGGCTTTATTTTTAGCATTTGAGTCTTTGACCATCTGAAATTTACTTAATATAAGAGGTAAAAAAGGAACAAAATCATTTTTTAAATTGCAGATGGCTTACCATATATCTCTACTCTATTTTGGGAATATTCCATATTTTCATTAGTGTTAGTTTAAGCCTGGAATTCATTTTCTAAAATATTGCAAAATCTGGCTGTTATTTCTGGATGTTATATTACTCCATTTACCTATCCATGCATTCCAGATGATTTTAATTACTGTAGCTGTATTAATATCTAATACAACTATTTCTCCATCCTTAGTTTTTTGGTTAGAACATCCATTATTCTTGCATGATAACTTTTATACATTAAATTTTTTATACATTAAACTGCTAATTTTTAAAAATCTTACTAATTTTTCATTAGCATCTAATTCCAAGTATAGATTTAGGAGATAATTGACATTTCTTTGTTTTCAGGTTTTGTTTTCCAAAAGCAGATTTACATCTTTGTATTCAGACTTTCTGCCCTTCAGTTTTGCAAGTTTTCTTCAGAGATACATTGCACATATTTCAAAGTTTAGTTTTACATCTCTTCTTCTCCCTCTGTCCATCTTTCTTTCCTTCCTTTCCTCTTCCGATCTCTTTCTGTGCTATCATCATTCCTCCCTCTTCTCAGAAGCCCCTTCTTTCTTCCTTCTTATCTTTCTTTTTTGCTTTCATTTCTTCCTCATTCTCTTTCCTTCTTTTATGTTTTACCTATTGTAAAAGGAATCCTTTCCTCTTGTATGTTCTCTAAAGGTTTAGTTTTTAAAAAGGAAAGTTACTTATTTGTGATATTTGAAATATGTATTTTAAATTTAAACTATATATACAGAAGAGTACACATAATAGAGGTACATTTTAAAAACTATAGTAAGGTGAACATTCACATTCCCTGTATGGGATTCAGAAATATAAAATATTTGTGCTTTTGATGCCTGTTGCATGCCCCTCTATAACACATTTCTCTTCTTTTTGCCTCCTTCCAGATAACTTGTAATGCTGAATTTGTATTGACCATTTCCTTGATTTTTCAAGTGATTTTCAGGCAAATTAATATACGTTCCTCATGCTAATGTACTTTTAATTGTGTTGGCTTTGATGTATGTAGTCATGTAATATATGTTCCTTTTTTACTCAACATTAGCTTTGAGCTATTTTTCTATTATGGTGAGTGGAGCTATAGTGTTTTTTTAAATAAACTGCCCACCTGACATCAAAGCAAAAGTAGTGACCCAGCCCACTACAAAACTCACAACAAACTCTGCCTGCCTAGGTCACAACCCAACTTTTCCAGAATGACAGGCTAAAATAAATCTTGCATTAGTATCCTTCCCAAAGGACACTTTAAAAGGTGGAAGTCGAGCCCATTTTCTCAAATGCATAGACAATAATGTAAGGACACAGGATTAGAAAGTATCATGGAATCATGACACCTTGAAGAGAAACCAATAAAATTTCAATAATGGACTCCCAAAAAAATGGAGATCTATCAAATGACAGAGTATTCAGAATAATAGTCATAAAGAAATTCAGTGAGTTACAAGATGATACAAGCTGAAAACTGACAAAACAAAAAGCAAGAAGACTGATAAAGAAAAACAATATAAAAGAATCAGACAAAAATCTTAGAGAAGAATATAATGACTGAACTGAAAAGTTTAGCAGAAAGCTTCAACTACCTAGTTGACCAGTAAGAAGAAAGCATCAATAGGCTGGAAGGCAGAACCATCCAGAGAAGCAAAACAAAACAGAAAGACAAGCCAGGCATGGTGGTGCATGCCTGTAATCCCAGCACTTGGGAGGCTGAGGTAGGAGGAGTGCTACAAGTTTGAGACTGGCCTAGGATACATAGTGAGTTCAAGGTTCACATGAACTACATAGCAAGACCCTGTCTCAAAAAAAAAAAAAAAAAAGACAAAAGAATTTTAAAAGAATACATAAAGTGCATGGAAATTACAGGGCACCATCAAGAGACCAAATATTTGCATAATATGACTTGTAGAAGGAGAAAAGAGAAAAAGAACCAGAAAGCATACTTAGAGGAAAAACAGTTGAAAACATCTCTCATGTGGGGATAGATCCCTATACCCACATATAGGAAACAGAAAGGTATCCATACAAACTCAAAGAATACACCAAGATACATAATAATTAAGTTATCAAAATTAAAGACAAAGGAAAAAATTCTTAAAGCAGCAAAAAGGTAAGAAATATATCACACATAAAGGAATCCCAATACAACTATCAGAAGATTGCTTAGCATTTCTGTGAGCCAGGAGAGAGTGGCATTATATATTTGATGTGCTGAAGGGAAAAAAAATGTTAACCAAGCATAGTTCATCCAGCAAAGCTGTACATCAGAAATGAATATTCAGAATATATAAAGAACCTAAATAACTCAATAGTAAAATAAAACAAAACAAAATCCAACTAAAACTTATAGGTAATGGGGAAGGAGATGTTGACAGAATCTCTGCAGTGGGTTCTGGCCTCCTGTGAGCCACCACAGCACAAGGCAAAAGAATAAAGACAGAAACTAGACTTAGAGTGAAGAAGCTGGGTCTTGGGACCTGATCAGTGCTGCTGACTGCAGCGAAGACAAAGGCCCCATAAGTGTATCCAATATTTATTGAATACAATCATGGGAAGGAATAGGAAGCCAGCTATGCTTTGAAGGCACCTAGTGAAATACTGCTGAACACCTGGCATGATGGCACCAGGCAGGGCTGTTAGGGAGTAAGCACTGTTTATCTTGCTTAGACAGAAAAACTGGTACTGGGACTGGGTGCAATTAGCAAACAACTCATCAGGTCAGTGAGAAGCCATAATTCAGGGGAAAGGGTTTTAATTGGGGTCACACTGGCCTCAGCTGCACACAACTCAGCAGGGCCCTGCCATTTCACAGACCAGGGCCTAGGTTTCCATGGCAGCCACTGGGGGAGGGGCTATACTCAAATAGCCAACAGGTATATGAAAAAATACTCAACATTATTAGCCATCAGAGAAATGGAAATCAAAACCACAGCAATATATCACTGTACCCCAATTAAAATGGTGATTATCAAAAAGACAAAAATTATTTGCATGGATGTAGAGAAGAGGAACTTTTATTGGTGGAAATGTAAGTGAATACAGTCATTGTTAGTCCATTTTTATGACTATATCAAGTTACCTGAAGTTGGGTAATGTTTAAAAAAAAGAGGTTTAGTTAGCTCACTGTGTCTATTAATCTTTGTATGTCATTGTATTAAGAAATGCATAGCAGTTTAGTTTAGTAAAGCACATTTCTGAATGTGTTTGCATTGATTGTGGAAGTGTGGCCTAGGGGGTCTTTGTCTGGTCACTAGCCCCCTTCCTACCTGGCTCTGATCCCTTGCTTTGCTTCCTATCTCCCATGAATTAAGTTGCTTTACTCTGCCATGTCCTTCCACCATGATATTTCACCTTGGGACCCACTGACCATATACTGAATCTGAAATTGTGAGCTAAATTAAACCTTTTCTTTTTTAAGTTGTGGGTGTTGGAGCTCAGACAAGAAAACTGACTAACACACTCACCATTTTGGAGGTATAAGAACATGGTTCTTTCATGTGCTTGGCAGTGTCATATGCTGGGCAGCATCATGGATTGAGTACGGGTGAAAAGGAGAGATTACATCTCAAAACAAGAAGTCAGAGAGTAGGGAGGAATCAGTATTTCTCTTAGTATAACAAATTTCTGTTGAGAACTGACCAGGGTCTCATAAAAATTATACTATCCACTTATAAGGGCCAGCACCCCAGGGAATTATACACCTCATGCTAGGCTCCACCTCCTAAAAGATCTACCACCTCTCAACATTACCACATTGAGGACCAAGTTTCCAACTTAAATCAAGGGTCAAACTCAAACTATATCCAAACTGTAGCAAGTATTCCATATTAAACTTCAAAAAAATAGAATTTTATATGATCTATACCCCACCCAGCAGTCTCATTACTGGATATATATTCAAAGCAAAGGAAATCAGCATGCCAAAGGAATATCTGCATTTACATGTTTAATGCAGCAGTATTCACAGTAGTCAAGACATAGAATCAACCTAAATGCTGATCAACAGATGAGTAGGTAAAGGAAATGTGATCGATATGTACAATGGAATCATACTGTGCCATTAAAAAAGAATGAAAGTCTATTACTTGTGACAACATGGATGAACCTGGAGGACACTGTGTTAATTGAAATAAGCCAGCCTTGGAAGGACAAAAACACATGAACTCATTGTGAAACCTAAAGCAGTTGATCTTACAAAAGTACAGAGTAGAGTAGTGGTTGTCAGAGGCCAAGAAGGACAGTGAGAAAATGAGAGAGATTGGTCAACAGGCACAAAGTTAGAGTAAGAAAGAAGAAATAAGTTTTGATGTTCTCCTGTACAGTATGTTCACTATAGTTATCAATATTGTATTTTCACTTCAAAATTAGCTAGAATATTTTGGGGGGGAATACCAGGGATCAAACTCAGGACCTTGCTCTTACGAAACAGGTGTCAGAACCACTGAGCTAAATTTCTGGCCCCTAAAAATAGCTAGAATAGAGGATTTTAAATGTTTTCATCACAAATAAATAATAAAATGTATGGGGAAAAGGATACTACATATCCTGATTTGATTATCATTGTGAAACAATGTATATGCATCTAAACATTACACTGGACCCCATAAATATGTACAGTTATGATTTGCCAGTTAAAAAAAAACTTTAGAGAAAGAAATTTTTAAATGGTGAGTGGAGGGGACTAACAAGACTCCCCCCTTTTCTTTGCCTACCCTCTTCCCTCTTCTCACCTATTTGGTGCCATCTCTGAGGAGACAGCCCCCACCAGACACTGAATCTTGGACTTTCCGATCTCCAAAACTGTGAGAAATAAGTTTCTACTGTTTATAAACTATGCAAGCTCAGATATTATATTATTGTAATAGAAACTAAGAAGGTGACTATGATTGATAATACTAGTTATATTTTGCTGTACTTTTAAAACCTACCTTACTCTTAGCACTACTGCAGGAATTGATCTTCATGTCTGTAAGTAAGCAGATAAGTCAATAGACGGAACTGATGGTTTAGAGATAGCCCAAAAGAATGGGCACAATCTCCTGCCAGGCCTCCGGTTGACTGGAAGGGAATTCTCTGCAAACAGCAGTGTAGTGCATACCATTAACCACTAGAGGGAGATTCATAAAGAGGGCCAGAGTATTTATAAAAACAGTGCTCTTGCTTTGAAGCTTGTAAGATCACATCACAAAAGGCTAGCAACAACCTGAGCAAGAGTTCACTTGAATTGTGTGGTTTCTCTAAAACAGAGGTAAGCCTGAGGACAAGTTGGGCTTATCTTATTTTTGCATGACTTACAAGCTGAGAATGGTTTTTACAGAGCAGGGAAAAGTCATCTGTAGTGCTTAAGCTCAACTGTGTCAGCGTGATCAGCTTGAGATATGCCTATGGCATTAGCAAAGCAGATTTCTGGGGGTATCTGGGCGGGCCATGGGGGCATAACCCTACTGTATGTGGTCACTGGTCCCTTCTTCGCTGGCACTGTACCCCTCTCTGCTTTCCAGGTGCCATGGACGAAGCAGATTTTCTTCTGCTGTTGCCTTCCACCGTCACCGTTCAGGGTCCAAGAAGGTTCCTATTATTTTTTCATTAGTACATGTTTGCAGTTCATGCAGTTTACAGTCATCTTGAGGAGTGGTTATATGTACATATTACAGCTTTTTCTTTTTAATCCCTTTCTCCTTCCCTCCTCCTCTAGTTTCCCTGTCCTATTTTTCATTCTTGTTGACATTAATCTCAGCTCATATTATACCCTGTTCAGGAACCTAATAATCTCAATTAATGTAAACATTATATGCCAAGGACGTTCTTAAACCTACCCTATCCATAAATTAAGTTATAGGTTCACTGACTCCCATCATGGAAAAAGAATTTTCAGGACACATCTGTAATAGGCATGAAGGGGTTTATTAAGGAGAAATTTTAAAGTATACACTCAAGGAAAATAGAGGGCAACCCTGAAGAGAGAGGGACATTATGACCTGAATCTGGGTGTATTTATGGGGCTTAGAAGTGTCTTCAAGATGCCTGACCTAGGTCACATTCTCCTATTGTCCTATATACCTGGTAGGCTGCGTTAGAATGGAAACCATTTACATGTAGTTGAAGTGGAGATGTGTGTGGGAGGAAAAGCAATTTACAGGTGAAAAAGGCCAATTTACAGGTAAAAGTGAATTTCCCAGATTGATACTGTCTTAGAACAGTGTTTAAACTAGGCATAAATAACTTTTTTGTCCTGAAGCTGTAATTTTTCTTAAAAGTGCAGTTTTAAAATTCCAATTTTCCTTGTCTCCTTTCCATGTATTTATTTCTTCTATCCTACCTCACTGCCATGTTTATGCCTTGGAGTCAGCCAACCATGGGCTGAATCCCCTTAAAATATGAGCCAAATTAAACCATTGTGTCCAATAACAGAAAAGCTAACTAATATATCACTTTTACTGAGGGGCTATCTCAAAGAAGAGCTATTTTTGGAAACATTATTTAGAGGGCTATCCTGAGCAATACACAGAGTAAGTAAGAATAAAAAAACTAAGATGACCCCACCTTAGGGAGAAAGCATTGTATCTTCTCCATTCATACAAGGCATTCTCCCTGGAAGTATGGAGTACATGTCTTTGATCTGTTGAGATGGTTCTGTTGTACTTCTAGTCTCCTGATAGCTTTTACCATGAACAGCTGTAGAATTTAGTCCAATACTTTTTCTCCAACTAGTGACAGGATCATATGGCTTTTTCCTTTCCTCTGTTAAAATGATGACTTTTGGGGGTGGATCTTCCAATGCTGAACCAACACTGCCATTCCTATAATAAAACCACTTTCCACATACTGCCAGATCTGACTTCTAATAGTTTGTTTTGTTAAACACATTTTTATTCATGTTCATTACTTTTTTCTTCTATTATCTTTACCTAGTTTTAATATTGGCACAATGTTGATTTCCTAAAATGAGGGGAGAAGTGTTCCTTTTTTCTGCTTTAGTTGTTTGATATAATTTATCAGTTGAAATGTATATGAGCCTGTTGTTGTCATGTAGGTAGGTTTTCAAGCTAGGAATATACTTTCTTTAATAGGTGCTCTTCAAATTTTATATTTCCTCCAGAGTTAGTTTCATTAATTTGTCTTCCACTGTACTTCTTAGAAGTTGTCAAATTTATTTCAAAAAAGATTTTTGTAATATGATTTCTATATTCTTTTAAATTCTGTAAAATCTGTGCTAATGTCCTCTAAATTTTGATATTGTAATTTAAAATGTATAATTGATATTGTGTAATAGGAAGAAAAGGTCTAAAGGAGTAGGGGAAGTGGGAGGGGTAGGGGAAAGGAAAGAAGGGAAAAGAAAAAATATGAGAAAAGGATAAAAGTGGAAACAAAGTCTTTGCAAATAGGGAAGGGTGGAGGGGGTGAAGGGAGGGCAGGGGAAGGGGAAAAAAATAAGAACCAAGATACTCATGTAATGGTACAAGATCCCAATGATGAAGGTAACTGTATTTTATACCTAAAATGTACCAATAAGCTTAATGGAAATAAAAGAATGAAAATAAGGTGAAATAACACATAACGAAATGGAGTAGAGAACCAAAAAAGTCACCTGGGAGAAATTGTTGACTCCAAGGACAAGGACGCAGGTGTGCGGCCATAGATTGGGTTCAGTGTGACTAACAGGAAGGCAGGTCTGTGAAACCACAGAGATTGGTCCTGCTTCCCACACATTCCTGGGGGGGTGACCGAGGAGTGAATATCTTTTTAAGAGAAGCTCCTCCCTTCTTCTAACACCACCCCTCGAATGTAGACTTGCTGGAGAATTTTCTCTTTAAAGCAGCCCAGGAGACTCAGGCAGGACTTAGATACACAGAAGAAAGAAGACAAAGAAAAGGTATAAAAAGAGGAAAGAATGATATTGTAAAGAGCTGAGTGGGGAGAAGGGTCAGATTGGTACATGAGGAAGGAGCATGCTGTAGGTTTATACCACATGTGGCTGAAATGAGATTGACATAAAATTCAGGCAAGGTTTTTGGAGCTGGTTTTGTGCACCCATGTGAATTTATCCAAAATGAAAAAGTGAAGGAGTAGAACTTACAGACAATGTCGGGAACAGAAAAAGGCTAGCAAATGTAATTTTCTTGAAGAGAACAGAGATTGGGGGTGGCAGCTACTGGGAAGAATTTGCTTAAAGGAAGTGACTTTTTTAGTTGAAAAGAAAAAAACATTATTAAGAATAAAAGAAGGTTATTACCTGGCACATTGAAATACAGACATTCTGCTTACGTCAGGTAAAATGAGGTTCAGATACATGTGCATATATGGGTGTATGTATACAGAGTTGACCTTCAATATCTGTAGGTTCCACATATGATCATCCAACCATCCGTGGATTGAAAATGTAGTTAGGGCTAGGATGGTTGGATCTGTACTGAATATACACAGCCTTATTTTCTTGTTGCTATTTCTTAAACAATACACAATGACTACTCTTTATATAGCATTTACATCGTAGCAGGTATTATAAGAAATCTTGAATTGATTTAAAGTATACAGGAGGATTGCACAGATGAGATGCAGATAATAGGGCACTTTCTATAAAAGAATCAAGCATACGTAGATTTTGGAACCAACCCACCACAAATAGATGACTACATGTATATACACATATGTATACTATCTGTTTCTTAGCTCCTGTATTACAGATTTGTGAACATGAGTGGTGGATATGTCATTTAGTTGTGAATCTCCTTTTCTTTCTCTTGCACATTCTCCTCAGTAGAGAGAAAATGACAAAACACCAAAGCATAAGAGATAAATATATATTCTAGATCCTCAATCTCTTAATTTTGGAAAACTGACTAAAAACAAAGTATTTCATTTTGTGGGGAAAAAAGCATTCTCTTTCCAAATTAGAGGCAGGTAAAATGTAGTTTTATTCCTCACTGGAGTCCTGAGTTTTTAAGAATGTTTTCTTGCACGCAAATGTAAGCTTTCTTTTTTCACCAAAAAGTGATACCAAAATAAACTTCCTCAGTACCATTCCTGGGGATGTTCTCTGGGCCTTTGCAGAGGCAGCCATGGTGAGGAGAGTGGCCATTATTGGAGCCGGTGTCAGTGGTTTGGCCTCCATCCGGAGTTGTCTGGAAGAGGGGCTGGAGCCCACCTGTTTTGAGAGGAGCAATGACATCGGCGGCCTCTGGAAGTTCTCGGTGAGTAGGGAAATGAAGTAGTAAATAATGCACTGCGTGAGTACAGATCTCCAAACATGCTGCTCTGACAATTACGACCCCTGTTGGGTTTGGAGTCCACAAAGTACAACACCAGGAGCAGGTTGGAAAATAACCTACTTGTAAGTTAGAAATAAATTGCACAGCAAGTTAGCTTTGAAAGTCTCTGTTTCTGTACAGAATTCACCTATGATAAATCATTAAGAAGAGCCAGTTGGGGAAAAAATATGTGATTAGTTTGGTTTAGTTTTTTTTAAATTTCAATGTAATACAAGTAGATATTAATAAAGAAAATATTTTTTTAAAACAGTCTTCCTACTTCTATGAAAAAATAAAGCAAAATTTCATAATAAATTAATTAAAGAATAACATTAGTTAATATACTATGTACCACTATCTTAAAAGAATGGCCAAAATGTTAGAATATGAGTCATAGACAAAAAAGACACTTACAAAAAAGAAACATAGCAGCACAAAACTTTCTTTTCAATGAACTAAGAGGACTTAGCAGTATAAATGAAAGAAATCAGGATATATGTTGAAATATTTTCAAAACTACGGAATATATAATTTGGGGAACTATTAGAACTTCTCCCTACTTCCTATTTCTCTGTCTTCTTTTTTTCATGTTTTCTTTAACATTTAATAGAAACTATGTACAATAAATTTTTACTGTATTTGATTAGCCTTCCTTTACATTGTTAGATGATCCACTCATTTTAAAAATGAGGTTACCAAAGGTCCTCTTATGATTCAAACCATGATCTTAAAGTTTCAGGTGGGTTTTTGGCAACTTTGTCAAGAATCAGTTGGCTATAAATGCATGGGGTAATTTTGAGGCACTCTATTCTGTTCCACTGGTCTGTGCATCTGTCTATGCCAATACCATGCTGTTTTGATTACCATGGTTTTCTAGTATATTTGGACATCAAGTAATATAATGATTCTAGCTTTTGTTGTTTTGGTTTTTTGTTTTTGCTCAAAATTGGTATGACTAGTTGAAGTCTTTTATGTTTGCTTAGAAATTTTGGGATTATTTCCTCTAGTTTTGTAAAGAATACTACTGGTATTTTGCTGGGTATTGCATTGAATCTGTACATCACTTTGGATAGCATGGTATTATGGTTTTGATCTAAAATGTCCTCCAAAAGTCTCATATGTTCAGATGTGGAGCTTTGAGAAAATGTTCAGATCTTGGGAGCCCTATACAAATCAGTGGATTGATCCATTGATGTATTCATAGCTGACTGTGCTATTAGAAGATAGTACCTGGTAGAAAAAGGAGGCCATCGAGGGCACAACCTAGAAGGGTGTGTAATCACTCCTTCAGTCCCTCTCTGCTTCATGGCCACCATGGGCTAAGCAGCTCTCCTCACCAGGCCCTTCTACTATGCTGGTTCTACCTTGGAGCCAGCCAGCCATGGACAGAACACTCTGAAACTGTGATCCAAAGTAAGCCTTTCTTCCTTTATATTGTCAGTGCTGGGTATTCTGTTGCAGTAATGGAAAAGTTACACACACACACATATATATATATATATATATATATATATATATACACACATACATATGTACATATACACTGTATATATGCATATTTTATTTTATTTTTTTAGTACATATTTGCAGTACATAATGTTTACATTCCTTGTAGAGAATTGGTACGTGTACCAATGAATGACTCAAGTTTATCTTCCTTTATATGAGTAGCACCCATTATGTGAAAATACCATATTTTCTTTATCCACTCATCTATTGATGAACATATAAGCTGCTTCCAAGGTTTACCTAGTATGAATTGTGCTGCTGTAAACATGAGTATGCAAGTATCACTATAATATGTCTTTAACTCTTTAAGGAAGATACTTAAAAGTGAATTTAACTGGGTCAAATGAAATTTCTAGTTTTAGATTTTTGAGGACTCTCCATACTGATTTCCATAGTGGTTCTATTAGTTTACATACCCACCAACAATGTAGAAGGGTTCTTTTTCCCCTTGCAGCCTTTCCAGCATTTGTTATTATTTGATTTTTTGATGAAGGCTATTCTTTCTGAGGTAAGGTGGAATCTCAGTGTTGATTTAATTTGTGTTTCTTTAATGTTCAGTGATGTTGAGCATTTCTTCATGTATTTATTGACCATTTGTACTTCTTCTGTACATTTCATTTTACTTCCCTATTTTTTATTGTCTTTTATTTTGAGGGGTGTCTAATTTTTTGGATTCTTTATATATTCTAGATATTAATCCTCAGTCTGAAGAATAGCAAGTAAGGTTGTCTTTTCACTCGGTTGGTTGTTCTTTTGCTGTACAGAACATTTTAATTTGATGTGATTCCATTTATTGATTCTTGGTACCATTCCCTGGGCAAACGGGGTTCTGTTGAGGGAATTTTTGCCTACACCTGTGACTTCAGGAGTATTACCTATTTTATTTTCCAGAAGGTTAAGTGTTTCTGTTTTAAGAAAAAAAGACATTTCATCTAGACTAGCAGCCTAGTCAAAAAGTACCTTTGTGGTTCAGGAAAGCTAAATTAAGATTTACCTCCTAAGTACGCTCCTAGTTGTATTTTCTAAAATCCAATGCCTTTTACTCACTCTAACATATTGCATTACGGAGACCCCAGCTGTAACAAACGTGTCAGAAGATGTGCTCTCTCGAGTTTGTTGGTCATTAACTACTGTTTGTTTCACTACACATCGTGACTACAAACCTTGGCTGAACATTGGAACTGAGGAGTATTTAAGACTCCTGACCAACCAAATAAAATTGTTTGAGAGTGAAACCTAACTCTGTAATTTTTTTAAAGCACCTCAGTTTATTCCAGTTTACAGCTAAAGCTGAGAACCACAACAGTGTCCTGATCTTCTCATTGCTGATCATTCTTTCTTCAATGGTCCCTTTCTTTCTTCATTATCACTTAATAGCATGGTTCTGTGGCTTCTCTGTGTTCATATAATCAATTCAGATATTTTTACATTTCTGAAAGTTAAAATTTTTTTTTTGAAAGTTAAAATTTTATTGCCAGCATAAATGCTCCAAAGGCATGAAATGCCTCTATAAATTCAATGTGATTGGTTCAAAATGGCTACATTATTTTATATATAGCAGAAATTCCAAGTTTGGTTTTTAAAAGATTCCATTTTAAAATGTTCATGTTTACAAATCATATACATATTTGGAAACATACCTGTTATTGTTTGCTTTTATAGATTGACCACTAGAAGCTCATATTCATGAGCTGAAACAATTAAATCTTACAAGGTTAAAATTTAGAAAACACCTGTCATCATATTTAATGCTTCAAGGGAATAAAATTCTGGTTACATATTTCTCAAAGGATACAATAAAATTGTTTTCCTTAGAAAAGAAAACATAAAGATATATTCCTCTCTATTCTCTGATTGTCTTGATAAGTTTCTGTGATTATCATCAACTATTTAAGTGAATTTATTTATGTGTCTTCTTACTGAACTTACTTTTGTGTAAAAGCCAACTCAAATCAATGCAGTTACATAGGCCTGGCTCTGAACATGATAGACATATTTATTTAGCTGTTTTCTTCCATCTGAACCCATTCATTCACAGGACCATGTAGAGGAGGGCAGGGCTAGTATTTACAAATCAGTCTTTACCAACTCCTCCAAAGAGATGATGTGTTTTCCTGATGTCCCATTTCCTGATGACTTCCCCAACTTTATGTACCATGGCAAGCTTCAGGAATATATCATTGCATTTGCCAGAGAAAAGGACCTTCTGAAATACATACAATTTGAGGTAAGATCTTATCATCAAGCTGGCATTAGACATAATGGTAAAGTTCACATATGTTGCTCTATTCCCCCCCCCCCTTTTTTCCTTTCAGTATCACTTTCTTATTTGCCAATATTTTTTTAACAGTCTGGCTTCTCTAATCCTAGACATGGCAAATATACCTTCTTCTCAAAAATACATGAGGAAGTTACAAAACTTGACCACATGGGTTTGAGACCAAAATGGCACTAGAGTAGAAATCAGTAACAAAGAAATAATTGCAAAAAGGCATATAAATTTGGAAATTAAACATTTTTTCTAAATAACATACAGAGCATTAATTTAAAAAACATTAATTTAGATTCTACATATTAGTACTTGTGGGAAGAAAAGAGAGCTATATTTTCATGAAATTATAAATTTAAATACTTGTGATTGAAAACAAGAAAGGTTTAAAAGTAACAAGGTAAGGTTTCAGAAATTTGCTAAAATCAGGATTAATCTAAAAAACAGAAAGAAAGGTATAATGAAAGAAATTAGCTAAATAGAAAACAATATTAAGTGTTCATTTTTTGGAAAAGTTTAGGAAAATAAACAAAAGAGCTGACAGTTAAAAAAATGAGCAAAGCCGCAAATAAATAACATGGTTAAAGAAAAAGAATATAGATATAGATAAAAATTTTAAAATATAATAATACTATAAAATTATTTACTAGATAATATTTTTAAATGGTTAAATTTTAAAATCTTTTTTCTTAAAAAAATTAACAAAATTCAAGAAAAAATAGAAAGCCTGAATAAATTTTTGATTATTTATAATTCTTTTGACATAGAAATTAAAATTTTTCCTGTAAGAAAAATAAACAGTTCTATAGGTGAGATCAAAATTTTCAATAAACAGATTATTTCAATATTTTATAAACTCTTTCAGAAGCTAGGAAATGAAGTAAAATTTACAAACTCATTTGATGACATTATAACCTTACTATCAAATGCAGGAAGGATAATATGAAATAGTGAAATTACAGACCCATCTCCCTCATTAAAATCAACTCAAAAGCCTTCAAAAATGAAGCCATCAGAGTATTAAAAATAATTAATAGTCTTTATCAGCCTTTATTAAATTGAATTTGGCCCAAAGATGGAAGAGTATTTTGCTGTATTATAAATACAAGAATTTAATTCACTACAAAAAAACCTTTACAGGAAGAAAACTATATGCTTATTAACAAACTCATTAAATTTAACACTCATTTATGTTTGAAAGGAAAAAAACTGTCACCAAACTAAGATCAGAAAGGAAGTTTCTTGACCCACGAAGAGAGGCACATTGTCTTAAATCTACACTGCTCAATATGGTAGCCACTAGCCATAGCGTTGAGATGTGATATAAGTGTGAAGTACATGCGGGATTTCAAAGTCTTACCATGAAAAAATGTAAGGTGTTTCACTAATAACTTTATTTTGATTACATGGAATCTACTACAATAGATGGGACTGGTTGAATCATATATCTTTTTACTTTTGATTAAGACTGCTAGGAAAATTTTATTATGTTTCTACTGAGCAGTGATGTACTAAACAGTAGAAAGTTGGAAGGATTTCCTTTAAAATCCAGAAAAAGGTGAGGATTCTTAATTATTATTACTCCTTCCAATAGACTTAAATTTAAGAAATGATACAGTAAGCAAAGGAAAGAGAATGATAACTTGAAAGAACATAATTACTACAGAGAATATGGCTGTATTTTTGATAAATCCCAAAGAGTCTACATTATTATTACAGTAATAATACAAAAAGTTAAGCAAGGAAGTATGCTATAAAATCAGTATATATAAGTTGATTACACTTCTGAAGTTAGTAACAAATGGAAAGTATAATTCCAAAAAGTGTCAGTTATAATAGCATAAATTAATAATGCCAGAGTTATTCTAAACAAATTATGTGGAAGGTCATAAGGGCCTGTTTTATTATTATATTTCATAATTAAAGACATCTTACATGTATGCATGTGCCTTATCTAATCTGTATAAAATACTACATAATATGGTTTTAAAAAACAATTACTGTCAAATAACAATTCTTCCAATATAACCAGAAGAATTAAAAGATACCAACAAGTAGTTGCTTAGCTGTGAATAAATATTTATTGATAATCTTAAACAATAAGGGTAGCATCACTATCACCTGGGAAGGGCTAGAAACTTAAATTCTGTGCCTTATACTCAACTTACAAAACCAAAACATCTGGAAATGTGGCCCAACAGTGTGTACTCCAACAAGCTTCCTAGGTGACACACACAATAAACTTTGAGGTAAAACCTGTGTCCTGAATAAAGATGTCTTTTATTTTAATACAGTAATAATAATGGAAAGGGAAATAGCTAGGGAGATAAGTAAGGAGGTGGCAGCTATTACAAAAATTATTGGCCACCAGATTACTTATATTTGTTTTGTACTCTTTATAAACCATGATTGAATACACTGTCACATCATATTTCAAAGGGTGTTGTCCTGCAGAAAATACTGATTATGCATAGGAAATCATGCAAGAATAAAATATGTGTGTGTGCGAGTGTGTGCACCATGCAATGTTTTAATTTATTCTGAGGCAATTTTCAATTTGTAATTTACTTCTATCTCACTAATGAATTAAGCATTTTCTAAGCTACTATTTATTAAGGATTTTTTTATACTCCTTTTGCCAAAGCTACCTATTAGCATAGACAAGAAGGCTCTTTTTGTGTATTTCTCATAGACACTCATAACCAGTATAATTAAACGTCCTGATTTCTCAATTACTGGCCAATGGGATGTTACCACTGAAAAGGATGGTAAAAAAGCGTCGGCTGTCTTTGATGCTGTAATGATTTGTTCTGGACACCATGTGTACCCCAACATACCAAAAGAGTCCTTCCCGGGTAAGCCTGACATTTAGTCTGCCATGTACATACCTGACAAGAATGAATATATTGATGATGGCTCTACTGGTTGCCTCAACTCCACTACACTGGTGACCAAGCTTCCAGCACATGAGTGACATAATACAACTATATCCAAACCAGGACAATCTCTTTTGGAAAAAAAAAAAAACTACAAAGGAGTTAAATTAAAATATATTTTGGTTATATCTAATATATTTGAAGCACTAAAATTCCATATTTTGAGGTCTGAATTTAGCCACAAGTTGACCTCTGTTGAAGCACTTTGTTTTATTTCTTAATGGAAATCAAATTGATTCATATGTTTCCCACTTTTCACTCAGGACTAAAGGATTTTAAAGGCCAGTGCTTTCACAGCAGGGACTATAAGGAGCCGGGAACATGGAAGGGGAAGCGTGTACTGGTGATTGGCCTGGGGAACTCTGGCTGCGACATTGCTGCAGAACTCAGCCACACAGCTGAGCAGGTACTGCATCCCGTGTACATAGCGGGCCATGTTACTGGGACAGAAACCCTCATTTTCACTTGAAAGATGTGATGTGATATGGGGTGGAAGAAAGGACAGGGTACCTGATGGGAAAACTAAGTGGCAGAAAGTGTGTAAGAACCTGAGTGAGCCAAAATAGCTCCCAAAAAGACTGATAGCTAAGGGATTGCATTCCAAGAGCTAGCATATTAAATCCATGCAAAAGGGGCATCTGGGGAGCATATTACAATGTCCACTGCAAATCTCACCACTTTCATGATTGATTTGGTTTATTTGAAGGTGATGGTCAGCTCCAGAAGTGGATCCTGGGTAATGAGCCGGGTCTGGGATGATGGTTATCCTTGGGATATGGTATTTGTCACTCGATTTCAAACCTTCCTGAAGAACAGCTTACCAACAGCAGTCTCTGATTGGTGGTATGTGAAGCAGATGAATGCAAGATTCAAGCATGAGAACTATGGATTGATGCCTTTAAATGGGTAATGTAGAGTTCGATCCAATGTACCAACTGACTTTCACTTCAGGGTCAACAACTCTTAATGTATGTTGTAACTTCAAAGCAAATCAAGAACTGCAAATATTAGGAGGGATTCGCAACATCCTCCTTACTACAAGTGCACAGCCAGAAAGTTTTGTAATATTTAAGCAATTCCTATAGTAATGATAATAATAGTAAGCATGTGTCATATGTGCTAATACATGTCAGAGTTTTATCAAGTCTCTACAAAGGCTCTGTCTAATGTGCATTAACTCATTGTATTCTCACAACTATAAAGGGGGGTCTAAAGTATCCCCATTTTATAGTTGAGCAAATTGAGTTTCAATGTAGTTAATAACTCTACCAAAGTCTCACAGCCAGCAAGTAGAAACAGCATCCAAAACCAACCGAGATCTATTGATTCTTGAGCCCCTCATTCTTAGCTCCTTGCTCTGGTGCCTCACATTTAATGTCAAACTCAAGTTCAGCAAGGCCAGAGAACTTTCCCCACACTACACTCTCATCACACACCTTTAGTAGATTCCACTGAACTTCTACCATGAGTCTTTCATCTTTGGTTTTCTCCTCATTTTCTTCTGTAACTTCTCCAAGCTTAACACATGGTATGAAATGACTTTGATATAAGGGGAAAAACCCAAACAGTTTCCATCAAAGTGTGAATTCATTAATTCAGGGAATATAAATTAAGCATTTGTTATGTGCCAGGTCCAGTGTTAAGCTTTGTGGATACAGCAGTGAATAAGAAGCCAGTATAAATTCTACCCTCATGGAACCTACCTTCTAAGGACAGTATCAGGAAACAGACAGTAAAAATAGCAGGAGAGCATATGGTGATGTGTGTATAGAGAAGAAAACAAAGTGGTTAAGGGCAATGCAAAGTGCCATCAAGATAATTTTCAAGAGTCCTCAGTGTAGGTTTCAGGGAGAAGACTCCTAGGCAAAGCTCCAAAGGAGAGAAGGAATTGTGCCTTGAGGATACCCAGGGTGGGTGGTCCACCCTGGGTGTCACCTTTTCAAGGGCGTGGCTGGCATGATCAGCAGCAGGGTTGAGCTACTCCTGGAGAAAAAGGAGAACACCAGGAGTGTAACCAGAAATATAACTATAGCCAGACAAGGTGTAAGGAGTCTGGCTTTTCCTCTGAAAGTGGCAGGGAGTGGTAGGCATCTGAGCCTTAGTTACGAGATCTAAATTAACATTGGACACTCTAACTGCATGGTCCTCATCCAATGTAGGGAAGTAGTGCACAGGCAGAAGTAAAAGGATCACTAAGACGCTATTGTAAAAAAAAATCTCTGGTGACAGAGGACAGTCAGTGGCTTAGACTAGGACTATTGGCAGTGAGTGGTCAGAAGTGGGCAGATTCTGAACACAGCCCAAATAGGAATGTTTGTGAATCTGGATAAAGGATGCGAAAGCAAACAAGGTATCAAGGATATCTTCAAGTCTTTTGATCTGAGCAAGGATGGAGTTGACATTTACTGAGATACAGAAGACTGTGGGGAGAAGAGAGGTTTAGTTTTAAACATATCAAAATTGGAATGCTTATTAGCTATTCAGGTAGAAAAAATATTGAGTGGCAGTGGGACCCACAAAACAGAAAAAAAGGTTAAATTTGATGAGATCTTATGAGGAATGAATGTAGACGGAGAAGGCAAAAGGTCTGAGGGCTGAGCCCTCGGGCATACCATGGTTTAGAAGTAAGGCGGGGATGAAAATCCAGCAGGGGATACTGAGAAAGAACAGCCAGGCAGGTAGAAAAGAGACTGAGAGAGTGGCAACCTGCAAGCAAGATGAAGACAGTACTTCAAAGGGCAGGAAACCATCAACTGTGTGAAGTGCTCCTAGTGAGCTGACACAAACAATAAGTGCAATGGACCATTTAATCTGGCAGTGTGATTCTCAGTGTGATTCTGATGGCATCCACAAGGGCAGTTTCAAGCTGGGGTGGGGGTGCAGAGACCCATGGCAGTGAATTTAAAATAAGTGGCAGGTAACACATGCAGTCGGTTATACCAATTCTTCAACCAAGATTCCAACCCATCTTATTGTCTGGCTTAGTTTCCTCCCCAGTGGACTCTCCCTGTGGCTTTCTTTCACAGCTGCCACAGCTATATGCATAATAATAACATAATAAACCCTCTCCTTCAACATTATTCACATTCATTCCTAAGTTCACACTGATACAGATATACTATGGAATAAAAAATAGTCAGAAGCTCTCTTTTCAGACTTCCAGTGGCCAAAGCTACAAACGGCCCCCTCCTAATTCTGGCATTATTTAAATGTCTGTGTGACCCGTCCCTCACCTGAGTCACGGTGTTGTCTGCCTGGGGAAACTCCATCTGCTTGCCAGCCTTTCGCTCTCCTCATCTTATTTGATTTTCCTTATGTTACAACGACCAGTTTGGAGCAAACTGGAATAAGAATAAGAATAGCAGCTGATATTTTTAGCACTATGTATGTGCTAGAGACTGCAACACTTTTCATATTATTTTGATCTCCCCTGGCCCTGAGGTATGTATAAATGTCATTACTATATCAAATAAGAGAAACAAGACACAGGTGACTTAAGAAACCTTAATCTTATCAGTGTTCACAAGTAATAAGTAGCAAAGAAAAAAAATTCAAATACCAAGTACTTTTATATTGGTGTTTTTCCTAAGAAAGGCTTTATTAGGGGAATGGACATATGTGTTTATTTTGAGATTTATGAAGATTTCTCTGTAGAAGAAAAGAGAAAGACTATATAGAAACTAGACAAAAGGCCAGCAAAGAGCAAGTTTTTCACATTATTTCAATTCAGTTTTGTTCAACTATATTAATAACAATCCATGGCTCAGGAAAAAAAGTCTTGGGTAATTGTTTCCTTCCTTATCAATTTACATATGAGCTCATAAGACAAAGGGGAAATTTACTGTCCTGATGACTGTATCTACTGCCCGTACAGAACCCTGAGGAAAGAGCCCGTGTTCAATGATGAGCTCCCAGCTCGCATCCTGTGCGGCACTGTGTCCATCAAGCCTAATGTGAAGAAGTTCACAGAGACCACAGCCATTTTTGAGGATGGGACCATGTTTGAGAAGATTGATTGTGTCATCTTTGCCACAGGCTATGGCTATGCCTACCCCTTCCTTGATGAATCCATCATCAGGAGCAGAAACAATGAGGTGACCTTGTTTAAAGGCATCTTCCCTCCTCAACTAGAGAAGTCAACCTTGGCTGTGATTGGCCTTGTCCAGTCTCTCGGGGCTGCCATCCCCACAACTGACCTCCAGGCCCGCTATGCAGCACAGGTGGTAAAGGGTAGGTAGACAAAGAAGTTCACTGCTGGATGCTAATGAGAATGCCTTTGAGTCTTTCTAAGAACAATAATGCTATTATAAGGATCCCATCCAATTTTCATACTTATATTCTTGGGTACTTAGGGTTAAGCTATTTAAAATATATCCCTTTGGATTATACTATGCAATAGTATTATTAGGAGAATTTTTTGTCATTTTTTTTTAGAGCTTATAATTACTCAAGACCATTCATTAGACTTTAGAATTCTTGGTCTTGCCAGAGTTCTTGGTCTTAAGTGTATGACAACTTTACAAAATTATGATATCAAAACTCAATAGAATTACATTGTTTGAAAGGTTAAGAAAAGATGTTTCCAAGCCACTATCCAGCCAATTTCAGATTCTTACAGTCATGGAAAATATTTCTTCTGAGATGGCAGTGGCTTTTCTGCTACTATCTTCTTCCCTGCCATGGGTTGTTAAGAACAAGCAGTGGATGAATAGAGGTGAGAAATACTAGATGTGGGAGATGATCAGTTTCTAAGATGTGCTGCTAGAAGAACTGGCTTCCTATATTTTAAAAAGAAAAGGGACACAAGAACTAAATGCCACAGAGGTGGTGGCATGAGATTCCACTCAGAGATCCACTCAGGGTTCAGGTCCAGAGAGACTGGAATTTAAAAAGTGTGACACAGTCACTCTCTGTGAAAATAAGAGTTATAATTTGGGCTCTGAAAAAAAGAAACAAGGCAATTGATAGGAAATTTATATGCAAAGCAAGGGCTCAGGCTCAGGAAAAATGGGATATAAAGCAAACAACCTTATTTTGGAGAACTAGAGTTACCAGACAGAAGGGCCAGTTAGTTATAAGCAACCCAGGGGCAGCAGCTGAACATGCAGTTTTTCATCCTAGTGTTTTTCTCTTGCTCAAAGACAACACAGGTTCCAAAGTCCAGAACTAGGCCATATTTACAAAAATAGTTCAATAATCCTTTTTGTAATGATTGCAGGAATGGAGAATTAAGCAAGTTATTGTAGAGTTTAAGCAATCATATCTACACTAGGATTTCTAATCTCATTCAAAGTAGTTCCAAGACTGCCAAAAAAATCAACCTAAATTTGACATATCTTCAAGTACATAAACATATTTTGGTCTGTGTTTTGAGGACCCTGTAAACCTGGGTGAATCTGAAATTCTAGGGATGATCCCAAATAAGACTTGCTCCAGGGCTCTCTTCTGTCCTTTGTGATTGGTGGACAGTCTGTATTCGCAATCATATTCCAGAACTGTTGGATTTCTAGAGACATAGCGTTCACTGAATTCTTTATCTCATCTGCTGTAAATTCTCTTTTCTAGCAAAAAATAATTATATCCTATGAAGTTTTTTCTAGCTTAAAATTTTAAAAAATTCTTACGGATTCACCTCTATTTGGCTATACTTTATTAGATAACTTTTTACAAATATAATGGAGAAATTGGGATGTAACCTTGGAAACTGGTTAAACATTAGACAATCAAAATTTTGAAGTTATTCAGGTAATGGTTTTTAATTTTTGTGACACATACCAGTTCATAGAAGACGAGGGTGATCACTAATCATGATATGTCAACCTGTCTGGATTAGTGAAACACTTCTGAGTGTGTCTGACTGAACCAGGGAGGTGAGACTTTGGGCACCATATGTGGTCCTCGACACTGTACTGTGTATAGCCTCTGTCACTTCTGCTCTGCTTCTCAGGACTGCCATGAACTAAGCATGTTTGCATTGCCAAGCCCTTCTGCCATGATGTTCCTGCCTTGGAGCCAGCAAACCATAGACTGAACTTCCTGAAACCATGAGCCAAATTAAATTTCTCTTCCTTTAAGTGTTGGGTGTTGGGTATTGTGTTCTAGTGATGGGAAGGCTCAGTAGTACAAATAGGAATGAGTTTTATGTGTGTCTCAAAATAATACCTATTTATTTCCCCAAGATTTTATTTTGCGGGACAGTGACAAAAAAAATGTAAACACTAATGTGTTTCATAACTCATTAAAAAGGAAAAATGGCAGGCTATTTCTGTGCTAGATTCTTTTAACTGTTATCATGTCTTTCTTCTTTTTAAGGAACTTGTGTTTTGCCTCCTGTGAAAGACATGATGGATGATATTGATGAGAAAATGGGGAAAAAACGTAAATTGTAAGAGCATCCAATGCAATGGTCTAATATTTGGATAGAATAATCAGAACTTGTGAATACTTGAGATTGTTTTTGTCATAAATGATTCTTAGTGAAGTCATCAGAATGACAGCTATGAGCTGCATTCATTCACTCAAGAAATATAAGTGAAGATGTCGTTTGCACCTGACATTGTATTGTCCTCTTAACTGCAAGATGCAGAGAAAATAATAGGACTATGGTTCTGTATTATACTGTCAGTTTTATCTTTCCATGTCTCATGAAGTATATGGATAATCAAAATATATGATGAATATTTAAACCTTTCAGAGAAATTATTACAGTGAAAGACACATTGTAATTAATTTCCCCCAGAATAGTCCCCCTTTATTCGGACACACATATCCCACTGTTCTTGCCACTTTTTGAAGCAGTTAAGGAAGTCCTCTTTCATGAATGTCTTTACAAAATATAAAAATACCATAAATGCTGCTGCTGAGTACCATCCAAGAGAAGGGCAAGCTCATAAAAAATGGTGTCTCCTTATCCACCATATTCAAGGGGCCTGGCACTGTGTGACTTTTGGCTCTTCCTCAAAATCAAAAAGACCATGAAAGTAAATGTTTTGAATCAATTCAGGAAATCAAAGCAATCACAACACCACAACAAAGACACTCATTGAAGAAGACTCCAAGAACTTCTTCAGAAAATGGCAAGAACAATGGGATAAATGTGTTCAAAGCGAGGGGGAGCATTCTCAGGGGAATTAATGGCAATGAGTCTTTTACTGTAATACATTTTTTAAAATTTATTGTATTTTTATCACACCTCTTATCACAGCAAGGGGACCAATAAATTATTACAAATAAAAAGAATTTGAGAACACATAAATGAAGAATTATATTCTCTAGCCCATGACCCCTTTAAAATGGTACTTCAAACAGATGCCTGTACTAAAAAAAACTTGAGAACATTAGGATGAAACTGGAGCACTCGGCTCCGTTCCTAGCTCTGTCACTTATTAGCTCAGAGGCCATGAACAAATAACTTCTGAACAAATAACCTCACTTGAGCAAGGGACAATGATCTATTTGTTAGTGAGGATAAAAAGTTATTCTCAACTGATCTGCAGCATCAGATTTTCCAAATGAGATCAGTATGAAGGTTCTTTGAAAAAACTACAGAGTTCAGGATACACAAGGAATATTTTTATAACACAAAAGACTGATGCTGATTCCCACTAATAAAAAGATATGTGATGCTTTCCTTCTTTTACTTCACAAAATTTCCTTATCTGCTGTGGTGCTTCCTCCCCACCTCTAGGTTTGGCAAAAGTGAGACCATACAGACGGATTACATAGATTATATGGATGAACTGGCCTCTTTCATTGGTGCAAAGCCCAACATCCTGTGGCTGTTTCTCACAGACCCCAAGTTGGCTGTGGAAGTTTTCTTTGGCCCTTGCAGCCCCTACCAGTTCAGGCTGGTGGGCCCAGGGAAGTGGCCAGGAGCCAGAAATGCCATCCTGACCCAGTGGGACCGGACCTTGAAACCTACGAGCACACGAATTGTTGGGGATCTTCTGAAGCCTTCCGTATTTTTCCATCTGTTCAAGCTCCTTGCCATCCCTATTCTGTTCATTGCTCTTTTCCTTATGTTGATCTAATTATCATTCTATAATTTTCAAAAGCTGCTATTACCAACACCCTAATAATTACCTTTGAATGTAAAATTCATGATTTTAATAATTCATTTTTGCATGTTACTCTCATAAAAATAATTGTATACATTTATATCTCAAGTATTTATTCAGTTCAAACAAATGAAGCACAAGAGGTTTTTTTTCGCTCTCTCACTTTCATCTACCAATTCTTAAATACTTAAAAGTATGTAGTCAGGGCCTGGGGATTTAGCTCAGTGGTTCCACCGCCTGCCTCACAAGTGCAAGGTCCTGAGTTCAATCCTCGGTTCCAAAAACAAAAAACTTTTTTCTTTGTGATTTTTCACACAGCTAGGTGGAGTAAATGGGAAGCTGACCTTCAGGGCCACAGAATCATTGACCATACGCATTCCCAGGATGGAAAGAATGACTTTGAAGCAAACATTTGGCTTCTCAAACTTTCAGAGGTTTCACATTTCTGAAGTCAAAAAGTACCTTTTAACCCGAATACTGAGGCTAAAGCCAAAATTCCCTGTGTACACCAGCTGCTCCTCCTCCTCTCCTCCTCCTCTTCTCTGCTAGTTCTTCTTCCTATTCTTTCTCATTTATTCTATTATTATTTCTACCTTTTTTCCATTTCTCTTTTAAAACCTACTTTTCTCTTCAGCTTTGGCAGAAGTGATGGGAAAGAATATTCACCCAGGAATCTTGAATCTTTTGCAATCTCCCAAATACTAACCTCAAACCCTTCCCAGAAGTGAGAATATTCTCCCCAAATGCAAGTACTTATTCAAACTCAATTTTACATATGACCAACATCACCATTCATTCCCCTGTCAGTTCCCTCATTATTCTATGTAAAAACACAATCCATTGTAACTCTCTACCCTCCCTCCCTGCTCTGACTTTCTTCATGGTATGGGACACAGGCTATATATATATTTTTGGATTGTCTATGTCTCCTTGTTAGAATGTAATCTCTGCAAAAGCAGAAGTGTTTTGTCCATTGCTGAATCTTCAGTGCTTGGAACAGTACCCAGCAACTAAGTCCAAACCAGTAAGTGCTGTTCTTCTTGAAATTAAAGGCTACTCAGCTCTGCTCAAATGTCTCAGACACAAAGCATCAAGTACAAAGGAATGAAAAACTGCTGTGCTGCAGAAGACTTTTTGAAATGTAGGTTTTATATTGCCGAAGTTTTGGTCCCCAAGGTGATGCTATCAGAAGGTGATGAAACCTTTGAGAAGTGGATCCTTGGCCCACTAAGCCATGGCCATGCTCTTGGAGGGGACTGTGGGGCACTCATTGCTTTCTCTCTGCTCCTGGTTTGGGATATAATCACTTGGTTGTTTCCTCATGTACTTCTACCATCACTCTCCACTGCGATGCAGCCAAGAGCTGAACTGATGCCAGTTCCTTGAGGCTCCAAAAGTAGAACTGCCTTGGGTATTATGTTATAGTAACAAGAGGCTGACAAATAGAATTATTATTCAGGCATGGTGAGATCAATGGGTCAGGAGTCAGCTGCCACTGAAAAGTCAATTGTTATTCTCACAGATTCTCAAGAGGAGGAGCATGTCATGACACGGAAGCCCATATGCAGAAGTGCTAGGGTCAGTCAGTCAGGAGACAGAAGGAAAAATGTGAGCAAAAGCTTTTATTGTGGTTTATGAGGAAAGAAACAGGATAGGGTGGGTGGGCAGAAGGTAGGCTAGAGTGGCTCTCTCTAGTTGTTTCATACCTGATTGTCAAGTGATTAGGGCAGAAAAATAATTGCTGAAAATATAAGAACACAATGAAAGAAATGGTTGTGGGTATGGGCTGTGTCATTGCTATCTCTTGGAATTAGTCTTGCAAGGAACTAGTATTTTAATTGATTCATGCAATACACATTTATGAAGCTGTTTCTCTATGAAGAGCTCTGTACTAGGAGATAGACATTTACTCTGACTGCACAATTTTCAGCTTTGGAGGTAAAGGTAGATCCCTTCAGCAAGGTCTCAACATATCAAAGCCTCAAAAATGCATATATATAAATGTGTGTGTGTGTATATATATATATATATATATATATATAAATAATATATGCTGGTGTGGCTGCAGTGAAAAAAAAAGGAACCCTTCTCCATTGTTGGGGGGAATGTAAACTAGTACACCCATCATGGCTATCAGTATGGAGATTTCTTAAAGGACTAAAAGTAAAACTCCATTTGACCCAGCTGTTCCCTTTCTAGGTATCTTCCCCTGAAGAGCTAAAGACATCATATTACAGTGATACATGCAAACCAATGTTTATGGCAGCATGATTCATAATAGTTATATCTTGGAAGAAGTGTGTATGTCTATCAATAGACAAATGGATAAGGAAAAATCTGCTATCTATACATAATGAAATACTGGTTGGCTATAAAGAAGGATAAATTTGAGGCATTGTAGCAAAATGGATACACTTGGATAACAATGTTAAGTGACATAAACAAGACACACAAGCTTAAATACTGTACATTTTCTCTCATTTAAAAATGTAAAGTACAAATAAAGACTAAAATAAAAGACTGATGAAAGGAATTATGGAGATAAATCTTTTTCAAACAGAAAGGGCTCCAAAAGACAAAAGGGGAGGGGAGAATGGGGGAATAAAAAGATTTGAGATGTGGCATGTACATGCACCAAATACCCACAATGCATGTAAACATTACATGCTGTGACACAAACTAAAAATAATAATAACAACACTATTAATGAAAATGGAGAAAGGGATCTAGAGATGGAGGAAAGGAAGTGGGTAAGAGGGGAAGGGGAATAAAAAAGAATCAAGATAGGTTATTTACATGTACCTGCTCCCTAAGATGAATGTGAACTTTATGTACTGAAAACATGTACTAATAAAATAAAATCTGAAAAGAAAATACACAAAAATATAGAAATTAAGCAATATGTTTCTAAATAACAATGGATTCCAGAAAAAAATTAAAAGGCAATAAATAATACCTTGAAAATAATCTAGAAGAAACTGACAAATTCCTACACACATACTATTATAGACAGATGAGTTAGGTAAAAATATTATAGACAGTCAGATAGGGCCAGGTCCTTGAGAAAGTCAGGACAAAGGTGAATCACATCACAGCTGTGGCCAGAGACACATCTGTTAGAAACCAGGACTCAAAGACAAGATGACCATACCTACATGCTTCCTCAGAGAACAAACACTGGGCCTAATGAAGTCTAGACAGACATTAACCCCCACAGTGGATGACCAGAGACCTCTGGACCCACCACTTCCTAGGCGAATCCTTGTTCTTTCCATCCACACTGGTTATGTGACTTGTTTCCCAATTGGACTGCTATTACCTAAGTGACTACACTTGTAACCTTATTGGATGTTCATGCTGTGGCCCATATTACACCCATGTGAGTTTCACCTTCTAAAACTCCTCTGTAAAATGAGATCCCCGGGCTACCCACTCGGGCCCCCTTCTGCCCCTAACGAGCTTTCCTTTCGATAAGTATCTTTCTACTCTTAACCTCCATTGTTCCTAGAACTCATTCTTCAATTTTTAGAGAACAAAAGCTTGGCGTATCATACAGCTAACAGCTTGGGAGATATAATATTTCACATTTCATCTCTGGTATTATTTCCTGTAACAATATCTTCCAAGACTAATCATGAAGAAATGGAAAATCTGAACAGATCAGTAACAACTAAGGAGAAGGACTTAAACTTCCACTGATGAATTCTACCAAACATTTAAAGGACAAATACAAATTATTCTCAAACTCTTCCAAAAAACAAAAGTATAAGGAATATTTTCAAACTTTTTTTTAAAAGGCTAATAATACCCTGACAACAAAGTCAAAGATGTTACAAGAAAATTATAGACATATTGTTGATTAACCCAGAGATAAAAATCTGCAACAAAATATTAGCAAATTAAATTCAAGCACATATTCAATAACCATTCACCATGATCAAGAGGGATTTATTCCTAGGGTACAAGAAATGTTCAACATATGCCGATGAAAAAATGTGATATATTATTGTAGAATGAAGGACAAAAACCATATAGTCATCTCAAAAGATCAGAAAAAGCATTTGACAAAATTTGATACCTCTTCTTAATAAAAGTCTCCGCATACTAGGTACAGAAGGAATGTATCTCAAAACAGTAAAGGTCATACAACAAGCCTACAGTTAACATCATATAAAAATGAGGAAAAGCTATAAGCTTTTAAGATCAGAGGTAAAGATAGTTACTCAACACTTCTTTTCAATATAGTTGTGAAAGTCATAGCCAGAACAATTAGGCAAGAGAAAAGAAAAAGAAAAAAAAGAAAAGTCATCCTACTAGGAAAAAAAGAAATAAGATTGTCTCTATTTTGGGGTCAACATGATCTTGTAGGATGGGGGGAGGGGGGTCATAGGCAGGAAAAAGGATAAAATTGGATCTCATTAAGCTTTATTAAAGAAATTAATAGGAAATCTAAAGGCAGCTTTTTCCTCTTCAGTTAGACTCCAGCAATTAGAAAGATAGAGAAAAAAAAACTAGACTTAGGAAGGTGCCAGGTAACACAATTAATGTAAGAATTTCGCAAGAAGAGTTGATAGGCAAAACAGGGATGTAGCCAGGAGCATGAAAGGCCACCTGATAAAATGCAAAAGAGATAAGGAACAGCCACCTAAGGACTCTTATTTAATATATATAAAACACACGTGTCCCCTTTACTTAATCATTAACTCTAAGTTGCCTTCCTATAAGCACCCTCCCCATTTATCCATCACAAAGGGACAGGAAGAAATCAAATGACCAGAAAGAACATAGATAGAGGTGCTCAGGTTAGGATCAAAGACAGCCAGAGAGCCAGCCAGAGGGTGACAACTTCCAGGTGCCCATATCCGGGGTGGGAGAAATCACTAGTCCTAAATAAAAAGAAGCTCAGGACAAAAATCCACAGGCATTCACTTCTGATGCACTCTAACCGCCCCCCCCCAACAAGGTAGCTGTCATCTTCTTTCTTTCCCATATTTTTTCCAGATAAATCATCTTCTTTTATTTTAAACTCCACCTCTTTAATTCATTACTGAAGTTGAGAGTTTACAATTCCAGCAAAATTCCTGTAGCTGCTTGTTCTAGCAAAGCAGTGGCATAGCTTGATGTGGTGTACACTCTTCCCCGAG